AGAGACTCATTAGGAAGGACAGAGCATCGTGACGAGCTGATAGTCACCTTGTTGACTGCCGTCAGCCTATCAGCTGACAAGAACTCGCTCGCCCTCAACAGCAGTGAAGTCGGTTAGCAAAAAAAAAACATGATGATGCTAACTGAGTCAGCAGTTATCAGCCCGATATTAGCATATATTAACTCTGTAATTCTGTCCTCTAGGGGGTGCGGGGGGGGGGGGCATGACTTTAACCCCTCACCACCAGGTCAACACTGCCTGGCTACATCGGTATCGGTCGATATCGGAATTGGAAATTAAGTGTCCGGAAAACATCGGTATATCAGATATCGGCAAAAAGTGTTTTTGAACGTTGTTGAATCTTTGCTAAGTAACAGTAGCATTGATCGACGGTACGTCAGTAGATTTGGGTTTAGGTATCGGATCAGATTCTAGATGTTTCTTTCGATGTCGGCCCTGAAATTTTGACCAATGTTCCACATGAAGGACCAATCAGGTGAACAAAGATTTTACCAATAAATGTTTAAACAAATCAACAACCCGCCATCGGAGGCAGCACTGAACTGTTTAAACAACAACAACAACAACAACAACAACCATTTCACAACAGCAAGGAATTCCAGTGAATCTCCAAAACGACACAAACTGTTAATTAAATGAATTAATGAGGTCAAAGGTCGTCTGTGGGATAGTTACAGCTCTGTCATCAAATGATTGTTGTTTCAGGATAAATATTAACGCACTGAAGGAAACCGATGTCGTCTGAGGGAAAATTTCTTCCTTGGCCTCTTAGGAAATGTCGGCCTACAGATCCCAGAATGCCGTGCTCTGATTAAATGTTTGCTGTATCCGTATCAGTAATCAGATCATTTCCAAACCCAATCACAGCTGAATACACATGTTTACAAGCAATTTAAAAATTAAAGCTAAAGGTTTTTAAATCTGGGGAATACGACCAGAGGAAGGAAAAAAACCCAAAAAAAACAAAAAAAAAAAAACACCGCTGCTGCTGAGAGGAACTGAGCTGCTCAAAAATTCATTTAAGATACGCTTGTCGATTCCACACACACACGTGTAGAAAGAGCCTCTCCCATTTCCAGAATCAGTGGGAAGGAACTCAACCCGGGGGGCGGGGGCGGGGGCAGAGCAATCAATGTGAGAGTGAGGACAGGAAACCAAGGAGCTGCAGAAACAGGAGAGCAGCCACGCAGCTTTTGGCTTTCCTCCGTCAGCTGGACCTGATCTATATATAGCTCTGCATGAGCGTTAATAATTTAGCAAAACCACAGCCCCCTCACCCAGCCCCTCACCCACCCCCTCACCCAGCTCCTCACCA